CCAAATAAACGATACCTATTTTTGCAAACTTTGACGAATTTTTTAAATTAAACGGCTTGTCGTAGGGCTGTAATATTTTAGTATGATCTACAAGACTATGATATCTATCAGTTATTTGGCTTTTTTACAATATTCTGGAAATTTGTATAAGTAATTTTTTGTTCACAACTGTATACATCTTATAAATCATGTAAAATTTTATTTATTTAACTTAACAAATGTGTGAATCATAAAATATACTATTCGGCATAAAAAGCTCAATATCTAATTTTGTGTTTCTCGGCCCTTCTATTTATTCTAAATTATTTAAAACAATATTAACAATATAAAATAATATTTTAAACACAAATTTTGCTTATTTCTAACCTATATAAACATCTAGCCTATTTAATCTCCGAAACGGCGGGATCTGCCTTTGCAAAATCTAATCACCACTTCAACGGATAATTACGAATCGATTGTTTTTTGTATCATTCAAATCGGTTGATCAGATCTCTTAAAAACTGACATTTTAACATTTCTTGCTCTATATCTCCGAAGTCGCTGAACCTGCCTGCGTCAAAATCTTCTTATCGAGCACGTCTTCTTATCACTAGAAATTGAATGTTTTTTGAACCATTCAAATTAGATAAGCCTTACGCCCAAAATCGTCGACGAAAAATTGTCTCCACACATACGCACACACATCATTTTTTTCTGAGGTATGTCAAAATGTTCAGAATCCTATAAAACGTGAATATATGCAAAAAAAATCATTTTTGAATTTTGGCCCATTACGGGGAGTTAAATATGAAAAAAATCACAAATCTACACTTTTTTAAATTTAATTATTTGTACTCGAATACTTTAGTGCTATGTTCTACTCTGTTTTCTTGTGTACATAATACAGAAAAATGAATTGTTTGCGTTTATGCAAAGCGCCATATTTTATCATTTTATAGTCAAAACAAAGCTTAGCAATTTTTAAAAAGCTCGCACGACACGGAAGTCGATATACAGAGAGTCCAAAATCCCAGTCGGTTTGAACTAATATCAAAACATGCTTTGATACCATAAAAGTTTTATTAGTCGTAGCAATCTTATACAACTGTTTGAAATAACGGATTTCCCAGTTGGCCAATACATAATGCATGTGCGCGTTTTTCATTTTAGAGCAAACTAGTTTCTACGCGACGACGATCTTTTTGTTACACAGAGGAAACTTTGCTCGGACCGAGCGGACATTTTTTATGGCTTAAACTTCAATTATTTATATATGAAACTTCATCCTATTCTTTGAACGAACAGCCAGTTTTAAATTACAAGTGTGCTGAAATTTTGGAAATTATTTATAAATGAGCGAGTGTAAAATGATGAGTAACGAACTGAATATTCTTGTAATTACGAACTGAGCAAACATTTGTTAAGATCGCAACAAAATCAGGCAAATCACAAAGGGAATCGCATATTACTCGTATATAAATAATACAAAAGATATGGCACCGGAAAGAATATTAAATAAAATAAAACAGTTTTTACTTCATGAAGATAGTGTTTTGACTAAGTATTTCCTGCTTAGTAAGTGAACTTTACGAGAAACTTGAGAAAGAACTAATGGTGTATGGCATTATACCTTATGTCAAGTTGCTAGAACATCTCAAACCAAAACAAAATGTTAGAATTAGAATTAGAATTTTAGAAAACTACTGTATTAAATGTTGTATTATTTGTTTGATTATTATAAATATTGTAGCATTGTCTAATATTTATAAGAATTATATTCAATGAATTACAAATTTGAAATTATGGTTTGATGTATATTATAACAGAAATAAAAATGAAATTCAGAAAAAAATTGAAACAATTTTTCCCAAAAGTAATTAGTTTGTGAAAACACGCAGAAAGTTCTTTGAATCATTCAAATCGGATGCTTAGTTCTTTCCAAAACTGCCATTTTTTGAACATTTAGCTTTGTATTTTCGTAACGGCTGGACCTGCCTCTGCCAAAAACTAATCAGCATCTCCCTATCAATAGGAATCTAGTGTTAGTTGAACCATTCAAATCGGTAGATCCGTGCGCCCGAAAATATGGACGAAAAAAATTCGGACATATAACTCACACACACCTTTTCTCAGAAACCTTCAAAACGTGAAAAATATGCAAAAAAAGAAATATTTTCGATTTTTGGCCCATTACTATAATACCCTACGGGAAGTTAAAAATGCGTTTCACTCCAACAATTATTCATAAATAACTATGAAAGTAGATAATTTTCAAAGAGATTTTTTTTAATTAGTACAATTTAAATTTATAAGTTAGAACGGTATATCATATTATAGATATTTGTATTGTATTATCTGTATACATTGTATTTGCATTACAAATTATTGTAAATATGTTTTTTGTACGCGCGTGAATATTTATATATATATATATATATATATATATATAAGTATTTAGTTATAGTTAATTTGAATTAGTTTAGTAAGTGACCAATGAACTAGTTTACAAAGTAAAAAAAAATAATATTAATACTATGAAATATTTTTTATTTTTAAAATATCTTTTAAATATCATTAGAAAACTACTGTTGCATTGGCCACAGTACATTAAAATAAATTTGTCAATTGCAGGTAAATTTCTATTGGCTAGAGAGCTACTGTGACACGAAGGAATCGAAAAAAAATAATAATAAATAAATAAATGAAAATAGTAATAATAATAATGATAATAATAATAATAAAAATAAAGGAAAAAGAAAAAAAAATTAACGAGAGTTTAATTCAATTTTTTCGCCGAAAATCTCGAAGTGAGTTTGAAAATCCAAAAATTTCGAAAGACATCAGTTAGGAATCGAGCTGTATATGTTTCGTACAGATCAGTAGAACCGTTTCTCCGATACTAATGGTACAAACTGTTTTTGGTCTTCACGATTATCCTAAAATATTGCACGGCTGCGAAAAGAGATTTAATTATAAAAATTTGTTTTTGGAAGTGTTTCGAATAACAGTTGCAAATTAGATTGGAACTATTTTACGTGTGTCTATTAAATTATAAATATAATATCTTAAATTAATTAAATTATATAATATATATAATTATAAATGAGTTATAAATTATGGGAAAGGTAATATAACTTGTTTTTTTTATAGTCAAAATGCCACTTACGCCTAGTTTAAGATTTTAGCGCAACAATTTTTCATAAACAAATTTAAATTCTAAACTTTCGAAGACATTTTTGTATAAAATAGTACTAAAATAATTATTTTCACATAATTTTTAAAACCATTCAAAACTACACGTTCTGACAATTTATCATAAAATATTAGAACGATATATCAAAAATACATTTTTTAAATAATTTACTTAAATTTTTGGAGAGTGTTTTCCAATCACAAAATATGTGGAAAAACCTATAAGGGTCATTTTTGTAGCCATTATTTGAATATCTTCTGCTTACCACATAAAACAACACATTTTCTTCCTAATTTAATGAATAATATAAATCTCAATTGTGAACAAATGACATTTTTTATCTGTTCGAACCATTTTGATGTGTTTTATATACCCTTCTCTCCAAGCTTTCACTATTTTTGTCGCAGACGTTACTTAATTTATTCAATATGTAGAAGTAGAATAAAGTCGCTAACACACGCATCGAGGCACTTCAGAAACTTTCTAGAAATTTTTAGAAAAATTAAAATACCTTGATCCAACTGTGCTAAATATAATTTTTAATTGTTGTTTGCACAGAATATTATATATGGATTATAGCAAAGCCAAATATTATTTATGTAAATAATAATAAATAAAGGGTTAATAATTCGATTCATAGAAATAGAGGTTTGAAAGATTTCTTATTGCTATTTTACACCGCAGTGCTCGAAATTGGCAATTTTCAATAGTAAACATATTTTGATATATAAAAAATGGATCGCTGTTGCCCACAGAAAACTTGAACTCAACCAACCTATTGACACAACGTGTCAATACGGTTAGTGCGCTTAACCGTTACGTCATAGAACACCCTATTTCAGCGGTTTCCAATCTGTGGGCGCGCCTACTCAGGGGGGCGTCCCGCTGTACTGAAGAGGGCGCGTACATCTGTTATCAGAATACCATTATAAAAAATTATCCAATATTTTTGGAACGATATTAAAAATTAACAAGAAAATTAGTTTTTATGCATATTTTTACATAATATATTGCATTTTGTAGTCTGTAACATCAGTTGAGTATTTGTAATAATTTATAACTGTTGCAAATATTAAGGAAAAACGCAATAATTGTTTCTATTAAGGCAGAGAGGCGTGGTGTGCAAAAAAGGTTGGAAACACTGCTCTTTTATTTGAATGGATATATTATTGATTATCTCAAAATTATTTAATTTAAAGCTTAGTTTCATAGAACAGCTTCTATAAATCCCCAAAAGTCTACAAAGTTCAAAACCATGGTATAATTCACATTTAGAGAAAACATAATTCAGATTCAAATTTTATTTAAGATACCTGAAATACCTGAAATATAAAAAAAAATAAAACACATGTAAAATTATTTTAGCAAGTCATTGACGAAATAGAATAATATATATGTATTATCATACATTTCATGATTACATTGTATCTTTGTTTTTCTTTTAAATTAAATATATGCATCAATACTGATTAAATATTCATCTGAATGGATTTTTTTAAATAAATATATTTATATATACACATTTAATAAATTGTAATACTTTTATCTATAAAAATTTACACTTACTCATGTCCAATTATACTTTTAATTTTTACAGTCACTTTTTAGCATACATATAAATATGTACAAATGCACAATCACAAAACTTGACGATTCAATAATGTACACAGGCTTTTTTCTTGGGGATAGTACAGGGCGGGTAAAGTGAGCGGTTCTTATTTTTTATTTTTTTCAATATTTTTTTAACATGGCTCGCGTTATATACTGGTAGGATAATAAAGCTTTCTTTTTATTTTTATGAATTGTCTTTTTTCTAATATTAACACTACGCATCCGCCGTTGAGAGTTTGGCGAGGTTTGCCAGGGTTGTTGGGTCTCCGGGTTGAAGTCGAAGGGCCTCTCGGTAACTTGCGGCCGCTTGACTGGTGCGGCCCTGGAGGTGCAAAATTGCACCGAGGTTTGTGTGAGATCTTGCGTCATCGGGCCTCAAATTGACAGCCTTAAAAAAAAGAAAAAATAATCAGAATATTAGTCTAAATTTATTCCAAATATCTACTAATTTATTTTAATGATTCATGTATATTCATACATTGATTTTCTTTGAAGTTAAATAGTGAGTTCGTTATTCCATTTTTTTTTGAAGATTCCCCAGGCTGTACATCTTAGATTAATAAAATATACCGATCATGTTATTACAGATAAAACCATATTAAAATTAAAGAATGAGTTCTGTATGTGTATTCATATGATGTGTGTAAATGCTAGTCAAAAATTTGACTTTTCGCCAAAGTTTTACCAAAAACGGCTACGCCGATATCAAAAATATATTAACTATTTGACAAAACTAGACAAGGACTCATTCAGCAATTTTTTTTAGTTTTATTATAATATAATTATGTGTGTAAATTGTGAAAATTTGACCTCTAACAAAAAACCGCTGTACCGATATCAAAAATTTTATAGGTATTGGATAAAACTCAGTAGAAACATGTTCAAAATAATTTTCAGATTTCATTATAATATAATTAGTAGTCAATATTTTTCGTTTAAGTTTCAAATAAAAATCCTGAACCGGTTTTGAAAATTCATGGCGTTTTTAATGAAACATTATGTGGTGATAGAGTTCTTATTATAATAGTACACATTTTAAAATATTATACTTAAACGAAAAGTGCATCAATTATGAAAATTTGTTAAAGTTTAAAGTTATTTTCGGTAACAAAATTTTAATATGTTATGGTCGCAATTTGAACATTTAATAATCCCACGTCTTAATAATCAAGTCGGATATTTACAAGTAATCGAGAAAATTAAGTATTCCTGAAATGCAAAATGCCACTTACGCATAGTTTTATCAATTGAAATATCTTAAACTGCGTTTTCTTTCAGTAATATTTGACACTCATTTATAAATTTGAATTCATTGGAATTGGAATAACTAATTAACAATAGTGAATTAGTACAACTACCAGTTGTAATAATATAAACAAAATGATATGTTTATAACATAATTCACATTTAATTTAGTACTTTTTTCAATGAAGTATTATGATTATTTTTTATATTTCTATATAGTATACGCAAATAAAATAGTCATCTAGATTAGCTGATTTAATAATATATGAGCGTTTCTCTCAATCTTTTATTGAGTTATTAGAGTCTATCTTTACCTCAAAGTATTACTTAACATACCTAACTTAGGACTAAATTATTAATAACAATAGTGAATTAGAACAATAATCAGTTGTAATGATCTAAACAAAATGATATGTTTATAACATAATTCACAATTAATGTGGTACTATTTTTATTAAAATATATTGATTAAATTCTTTATGAATTTCTATATAAATGGTTGCGCCATCTAATCATCCGGATAAAATGATTTTATAATATATAGGCCCTTTTCTCAATGTATTGTAAGGAACGATCAGAGTATTAATGTCTATATTTATTTCAAAGTATTACTTAACGTACTTAAATTAAGAATAAATAATTTATAATAATTTATGCATAATTGATATGTATAATAATTCTTGAATGCAGCGAGTTGTCCTTCTAGGTTGTCAAAATTTAGCCACCACCGAGTTTGTTTGATATTTTATTCACCAATTTTGAAAATACCAATACCTATATTAGTTTTTTCTTAAACACAACATCTGGTGAGACTCATGCTCATAGAAGTAAATAATTTATAAGCAATTTTACGGTTTTAATACCATCATATAACTAACATACGCCATGCTTCCTATTTAATTACTTTTACAAAATACGATTTCATTAATTACCTGTCGATACCAATACTCCGCCTCTGACTTGCGGTCCATAAGCCGCAGAGCAGTGGCGGCGCCAACCACAAGTGCGTAATCCGTAGGGGCCAATTCGGCTGCGTGCACCTTGGCCGCGCACGCCTCTGCGTGTCTCGAAACCATCGATAGGAATTCACCTGGTGACAAAAGAAACACATTTTAATAATAATACAACATAATAATTTGTTATTTATTTTATTTACTTTTTTATGAAATTATGCCATCTAATAAATATTTTATTAAATTCGAAATTAAAATTGTTATTTTTTGAGCAAGCAAAATTAATGTTTTGTCCAAAAAACTAGACACATTTTTTAACTTATTTTCTAAAGCATTTAGAAATTCCAGAACAAACATGAAGTCAATCATAAACAATTTCATCAGTTCTATCATAAGAGTAGATAGAATATTATCACCAAAAATTTAGTTATTCAAAAAAATTATCATATTATAATTTTTCAATGAGATTATTCTATTTAATCCAGAATAAATCCATTTCTTAAATGTTTAAAATGGATTTTATAAATTTGTTTGAACACTTTCTATTTGCAAAATAGGAATTATGAACTTCTTATATGCGCTACCTTGGAGTAGGGGGAAGTCTCATAACGCCGAACGGCACGGCCTAAAGCCGGACACTCTATTTAACACGTATTATTTAAGCAAGTATAAATCTTTTTATTTCAAAATGCAAGTGAAAGGGGCGCGTGGGGCACACAGGTCATGCGCCAAGACTCACCTGTGACGTACACGGCCACGGAGAGAGCAACCCTTTATTGTTTTAGACGCAAAAAAACGGCGTCTCCAAAATATCAATGGAAGTAATTCTAGTGTATTTATGCATTTATATTTTAGTGGCATTCAAAAATAAAAGTAGTGCGATATTTGACCAAATTTAGTAGGTACCACCAAATGAACAAAATTGTCTGTTCCTTGGCACCGGACACTAAGTCGTCCCTTAGTGCCGGAAGTAAACATATTAATATTTCTTGTGAGAATTGACGTAATTTATTCTAATTATTTAATTTTGTTCTGTATGAGTGCTAACGGTCACTACATACCTCCATTTCTCGTATTTTCTAGTCAATTAATCAAAATCTTATGATGATTGCTCCAGCTGAGAGCATCGGTGTGACTCAGCCAAAAGGGTGGATAATTAGTGATTTTTTTTGCAATACCTAAGAATATTCGTCAAACACAAATGTGCAGACATTCCAGAGTATGGTGACGGCTACATATGTGTTCAATTCTGGTTATTTTGCAATGTCCAGTACTAGGTGCCACTTTGTAAAATCATATTTTTTGCTACCAAGTTTGATTGATAGTATTAATTATTGTTTAGCAAAGATTGCGTTTTTGTTAATTTAGTTTGATTTTCAACTTTATTATCTAACATAAGTCATAATTTAATAAACATTTTGTAAAATATTTTTGATTTATTTATATAAATAACCTTAGGTGTCCGGCACCCGGGGACTTTTTCCTATGTGGTAACCTAAATGTTTAAGCATTAGATAATAGTTAATTATCTACAATGTGAATTTCCGAATTAATATTAGAATATTCAGAAAAAATTTTATTCAGTCTTAAATATTGATTTTATTTTTTTAAAAAGTTCTTGCGACTGCCTTAAATGTTTAAAAACCCCTTTGACATGTACTGGCACTAGAAGAAATCTCCTTAGTTTGTAAGTTAGTAAAGTAGGTCTCATGAATGAGTCACTTGATTTATTGCACTCTGCGAAAGAAGTTAAATGAAAGTATTTTTTGTTTCAAAGAAGAAGCAAATCAATGCTACAATATTGAGTAAAGAATACGTTTGCAAAAATCGAAATAAACAACATAGTACTTAGGGTTATAATTTGCATGGGATTCTAGGATTTCTATGATTTTTTCATGAATGATAATTTCTCATATTAATCCTTTTAAATTCAAGAACATAGTGAAAGGGGTAATATAGAAATGGATTTAATACTACCTTTCTTAAGTTAGCAAGACCAAACTGGTAAAATCAATTTATATAAAGCTAAGCAGCGCTACATATTTTTTTAAATAATAGTACAAAATTAGTACAATATAGGTACTAATTAGTACAATAAATCTGCATCGATTTAGCTAATTGGGTTCCTGCAAATTTGGTATTCAATTTTGTTAATTTGGACATTCGATTATTTTAATGCTGTACTAGATATTATTTTTTACAATTTCTAAAATGCTTATCTTTGAAATATTCTAGAAAAAGCTTATCATTTATATTTCTTAAGAGCACAAAACCGTTTTTAGATGTTTAAATTTATAATTAAAGAATATATGGTATCCAAAATGTTAGGAAAAACTGATTTAAACCATTATAATATGTTGTTCATATATTGTTCCTAGATCGAAATCTGGTTTATATGCTGTTGAAATTTACCATTATGGTATTACGTCCGAACTTTTTCAAAAACTTTAAAACCTCGTAATATATATGATGAAGTATAGTGGTATCCATAGCAACTTCGTATTTTGACTTATAGGCGAGATGCAGTGGTAAATTTCAAAGAAAATCAAAAAATGTTAAGAAAATTAAGAGGAAATATTTATAGTAGTAGTAGTAGTAGTTTTCAAGTGAAACTAGCTCTCATCCGGCATTGTTGCATCAATAAAATTCGCCCTACTACAGATATTGTAATAATAAAATTTATCACACATGATACAATTCCACCTATAAAACCTACGTAGTATTAAGTAAAATTAGCCCAAAAGGTTATAGGAAAAATTGATTTGTTTAAATCCAAAAGCAAACTGATTAGATAATATACCATAGTAA